GTGGAGATTGTTTATGTAACATGTTCAGTAACTTTATGACATTTGTCTTTGTAAAACTGAAGGAAGTAGTAATAGGCTTTAGTCATTGTGTCTGGTCCTTATGTAAAGCTACACTGACAGGAGTCTGGCTTTTTCTTGTATTGATCATAACGAAGAAGGATCCTTTTTTGGGTTGATGCATAAAGTAGTTCCACTAAAAACCTCATAATTTGGTCTGTGGATTATCCAGAGTAAAAATGACAATTATTCTGGGAAAAGCACTGAATGTCATTCATAGGTTTTTCTGATTTGCCTCATTCAACATATATATAATATACAAATCAAAGCTGGACATTGAAGAGTTGCAGTCTCCCAGCAGAACACAGACTTTAGCACAAAATAAGCGCACAATAGTCTTTGAAATTATCCTTTGCATAGTATAAGAATATAAGTATAGGTATTGATTGATTGATTGATTGATTAAATGTATCTCAGACATATCAAATAAAATCAAACATATCAAAAATACAAAACAAAATGAAAAGCATGAAAATACAATAAACAAAAAACAATGTTCAAATTATTTCACAAAAAAAGAAAAAGAAAAAGCAAATTACATATATTCAGTTGATATGCCTGAAAAGGAGGAGGAAGAAGTATAAAACTTATTTAATCCTACTCCTTTTCCACAGCTCAATAATTAATATTTATTCAATTAAATTAATAAATGATGTGAGCAAAGGACATGACTGACAGTGTGATTAGTGTACATATGTTTATGTGTTGATAAGGGGGTTTGGGGGAACCACTGCTTTAGATGATATTTATTTTTTTGTCTGTTGTCTGTCTCTCCATTGGTGATGCCATTCTGAAACCTCTGAAGTCTTCCACAGTTTTATTTGACGCAGATCAACATGGCCACCAGGAAGGACCGAGGTGCAGCGAAGGATCGTGTCCAAGGACGGCCACAACAACGTGCGCATTGACAACGTGGAGGGCATGATGAAGCTGTACCTGCACGACATCTGGACCACCGTGGTGGACATGAAATGGCGCTACAAGCTCACTCTGTTTGCCTCCACCTTCGTCATCACTGGTTCATCTTCGGGGTCATCTTCTACTTCATCAGCATGGGTAACGGAGACTTTGAGGCCGGTCTGAGCTCCAACCACACGCCTTGCTTAAAGAACGTGGCGAGCCTCACTGGGGCCTTCCTGTTCTCTCTGGAGTCACAGACCACCATCGGTTACGGTTATCGTTATATATCAGAGGAGTGTCCGCTGGCTATCTTCACCCTGGTGGCTCAGCTTGTCATCACGGGCCTGGCTGAGATCTTCGTCACTGGAGCCTTTCTGGCCAAACTGGCTCGACCCAAGAAACGAGCAGAGACCATCAAGTTCAGCCAGTTGGCGGTGATCTGCAGACGACAGGGAAAGCTGTGCCTGATGGTGAGGGTGGCTAACATGAGGAAGAGTCTTCTGATCCAGTGTCAGCTGACAGGAAAGCTCCTCCAGTCCAATGTGACCGAGGAGGGCGAGAAGACACAGGTCCACCAGAGCGCTGTGGACTTCAACATGGACTCCAGCAGCGAGTGCCCCTTTCTCATCCTCCCTCTCACCTTCTACCACGTCCTGGACGAGCGCAGCCCGCTGGCAGGACTGAACGCAGAAAACCTTCACACTCGAGACTTTGAGCTCCTGGTGACCCTCAACGCCACCATGGAGTCCACTGCAGCCACGTGCCAGAGCCGCACTTCCTACGTCCCTCAGGAGATCCTCTGGGGCTACGAGTTCAAGCCGGTTCTGTTCAGCACCACAGGGGGCGTTACGTGGCAGATTTTAACTTTTTCGACAAGGTTCAAGTGAGCAACGACCCCGCCTTCCTCAGCAACGACACCGAGAAGCTCAAACTGGAGGAGGACTACAAGAAAGAATAGAGGATAAACGTTTCATTACTGATGATGACTGTGAGGCCTGGACCTGTGAGCTACCTGCTGACATATTGTGACAGTAAAGTCACAGCCATGGTTCCATCATCTCACACAGTTTATAAATTAATTTTATCACTGTCTTTTTTTTTAAATATTCATTTTAAATACATCATTAGAAAAGAAAGCGGGTTGCAGAGTGGTTGTTTTAATAAGATTTTATTACATACTTTCAAACTAAATGGATCCCTTTAGATTCAAAAGCAGTCGCTCAAAGTAATTCAGATGAATGTTAGTGTCTACTTATAGTACGATGGCTCTGTTAGGTCACTGAATATGTATTTTACTTCCTTTATTAAAATCAATCAGAATATTTATGATAGGATTCTTTAAAACAAATGTAAAGCTTTCCCATGTTGTGTTGTTAAGAGATAAGTTGTGATGGTGTGATAAGAGACTCATCATGAGGCTTTATTATGTAGATTTATATGGTTAGTCAAATGTATTTGTTTTTTGTAAATAAATGTTTCTTTATTTGTTCAAGAAATGCAAAAATAAATGTCTCCCAGTGTATACGGGGAGAACCTCCAGTCACCTTTGAGCCTGAAAAGGATTAACAGGTTATAGAAGAGAAAACTAAATGGGTCGAGCCTTTTTGAAGGACAAAACAGGTTCAGCCTGAAGAAACCGCCTCAGTTGTCGGTAGCTACGTTTAGCTTTTGTTGTGACAACACTGAGGAACAATCAGCCGCTCGAGCTGTTGTTGACTGTATCAGGTCCAAACAATCTTACAATCCAACAACTCGTGCTGATGAAGAGGGGAAATGTATCCCTTTGCTGATTTTGTCCTGTACGTCTGTAACTACAGTTTTCTGACAAAAATCTCATCCTTCTTTATTTCAATGTCTTACGTACAATTCGACAATCGCCTATCTCATAATTTGGACTTTTTATTTTATAATTTGGACTTTTTATCTAATTATTATGACTTTTTATTTTATAATTTGGACTTTTTATCTAATTATTATGACTTTTTATCCCATAATTTCGACTTTCTATCTCATTATTATGACTTTATTATCTCATAATTTCGAAAAAAAATCTCAACAAAGCCAAATTTTCAATTTTAATTTTTCTAACTGGCGGAAATGGGCTTCCATAGCTTCTATATTATTATTATAATTATTATAATTATTATAATTATTATTATTAATAATAAAAAAAAGTAACATTATTATTATTAAAGCATAAATATTTAACAGCCTTCAGTGGATTGAGGCGGGAGCAGAAACTGTGAAGGGCAAAGAGCACAAGACTCGAACTTTTTGCATCTATCGAGGCTCTTACTTTGAAGGGACAAGCTGACACTTTTATTGAGTCGGCCTCGAACCGGAAGTCATATCGTCGTTAAACTACGGAAGCCGAGCGGAAACACAGAGGAGAAGTACTTTTAGAAAGAAAAAAAACCCTCTTTGTTTTTTTGTTTTTAATACGCCTGTCATCCGTTCTTTAAATGTCTGATTAATGGTTCATGAGCAGAGATGAGCGTCACTTTGGATATAAGACTGAAAAGAGCGAACAAAGTTTACCATGAAGGGGTGAGTACGTTAGCTACAACCAACTAGCTAACATGCTGCTTTAATTGTATCTCTCTGTTTATGTTTTAAATGTAAATGTCAATATTTATAGTTACATGTGTCGACACTAGATTCATTAAAAGACACAAACAAGGATAAAAACCTTGGAAGGAGGCGTCGTCCTCTCCACACATGACCAGCAGCTGATCAGTGGGTGTTACGCCAAAATCTGTCACCCTTTCAAAATGTAGGCCAGTTACTGTTATTAAATCAACATCAGAAAACAACCAACAGTTTGATGTTATCACCTTATTATTTACACTTTATGGTGATATTTAAATGAAAGCATGTTGGGTCTTTACAGATTAAGATTTACTCTGATAAAATATGTTCCACAGAGAAACCTGATTTTAAAGTTAATACTATTAAAACTTGTTAAAATCGTAGATATACATGACATTCATATCATATTTAAAAATATATATTTTAGTCAAAACCAGCAGTTGGATGGTTTTGTTCATTTCCCGAAAAAAACATTATATCCTGTTCAATTTATTGAAAATAATGTTATACATTTTATTTATATTTATCATAACTATAATAATAATAATAATAATAATAATAATAATAATAATAATAATAATCAATAATATAACTAAATACCCAAAGACAATTTACACGGTAACATTTTAGACAAAGACAATTTTAAAATACAAAAAAAACAACATAGATTCACAAAACATAAAAAAAGCTAATGTTGCTTTTTATGACATTTTAAAAATGTTTTGTTCTTTAATTTGCTCCGTCTTAATGTGGCAGGTTAGTGCAGTCTCAGATGTGTTTATGTTAAAATACAAGCTGAACTATATGCAATAATATCTTATTAAATGATTAATTTTATTCAATGTTATTTTATAAATTAAATTAAATTAAATTAAATTCCTAGGTAAATGAAAACTGAAATACTAATCTAAAGTATTTAAAAGTGTTTCTGACAGAGATGACTCAAATCAAAATATAATGTCCATAAAAGTCGCATTTTGGAAAACAAAACCTGTTCCTTTACACAATTGTTAGTTGAGACTGTGACCTCCACATTTAACCATTTCAAATGAATCAATCAATGAGCTATAAAGTATTTGTACTGGCATTTAAAGCTACAGCACTTCTTTATTTAACATGCATTTACAGCAATGCTAATACCACACATTATAATACTTATATTAATTTAGCTAGAAATGCTAATGCTGCCACTGTTGCTACTCTTAACTTCTTAAATTATAACATGATCTCTGGTAATAAAACTTTGATCATGACTTCTACTGCTGCTGCTTTTACACCGACACTGACTACAACGAGTGCTGCTGTCTTCATGCTGTCGATAAAATGGAGCGAAGGCAGATGCGTACGTTGTTTGTGTAGTCTAACACTGAATCTGTTTTAATAATAACAGTTAACAATATTTATATGGTGACCTCAGCTGTGTTGTTTTATGTTTAGGAAGTGGTGGCTGGAGTCATCCTGCTGGTGTGTAAGGAGGCTCTGCAGCACCATGGCATCTCTCTGAGCATGGAGGGACTGGTCAACCTGCAGCTCAGCTCCAAGAGTGTCGGCGTCTTTGAGGCTTTCTACAACTCTGTCAAGGTGAGCTATGAAGAAACGTTCACCTTTTAAATCATCAGATGTTCTGCCCTCCTAATGAAACGCTCTAAGAGAGATTAATCAGCATAAAGACAGATTAACAGAGCAATAGTCATCTATTTTGAGCTTCTCCACTGTGACATTTTTCTCTTTGACTTTATTCTAATCTTACAGACTTGTTCCTGTGCTCAGCATTAAAGTGATGGACTTTAGACCAAACAATTAATTCATGTTTACAACTCATTATAAACAATCATTTATGGAAATGATTAACCACTGTTTGACTTCAGCTGGTCAGCAGTGAGAGAGTCCCTGAATGAATGAATTAGAACATGATGAATCAACAGAAGCAGAGAGGAAATGAAGGCGGCTAGCAGCCTCAGTCTACAACATTTCCCAAACTCGAACACAAGCGTCATGATCTAACCTTTCTGCCTCACGTCGCAGCCCATCCAGCTGATCAGCAGCAACATCGAGGTGGCCAAGGCGGGAAAAGTCCCAGGAGGCAAGACGGAGATCCCCTTTGAGTTCCCTTTGAACACTAAGGGCAACAAGATGCTGTATGAGACCTACCATGGGGTCTTTGTCAACATCCAGGTGAGAAAAAATAGACAAAAAGACATTTATGACGTAAATAATGGATCATAACTTCATTTTCGCCTTTCAGGGTAAATCTGAAGAGGACTTTCTTATCACACATCAGCCGTTTTCATGTATTCACTCCTCAAAATATCTAGATCATTTCAGGAGATCAACATACTGACGAACAGATGACGTAATGCAGCCGTTAAATCACATGCACAGTGATCGAGCTGAATTCTCCAGATAATATCCTGCTGCGTTCTCACATCAGCTCAACCGGACATGCTGCAGAAAAAAAAAAAGAAGAAGAAACTGAAGAAATTAAATCTTAAAGTACATGTTGAGGATGTTGTGATGCAACTTCTTTCAAATCAGTTTCCTGTCAGTAAACCGTCCTGTGTGTCTTCTCTTTAGTACACTCTCCGCTGTGACATGAAGCGCTCTCTGCTGGCCAAAGACCTGAGCAGGAACTGTGAGTTCATCGTTCACTGTCAGGTGAGTCGCACTGATCTGGTTTGTGTAACGGTTATGATATGAATAAGACGTTGTAATGTTGTAAGACGGTCTTTGTTTTGTTTGAAATGAACTGTGAGATTTTTTTTTTTTTGTGCGGTCTGATTTTCAGCCGCAGAAAGCTAAAGTCGTCCCCACACCAGTGAACTTCACCATCACTCCAGACACCCTGCAGAACATCCGCGAGGTGAGAAACACTTGGCAGCTTTATTTTGTATTTCCTTAAATATGGGCTGATGTGAAAATTTGCTTTGTGTCTTCAGAGGAGTGCGCTGCCGAAGTTTCTGATCAGAGGAAATTTAGACGCCACCAACTGTGTGATCAGCCAGCCGCTGACCGGAGAGGTGGTGGTGGAGAACTCAGACGTTCCCATTAAGAGTATTGAGCTGCAGCTTGTGCGGGTAGAGACCTGTGGTGAGTTCTTGCTGTGAGATGATCAAAAAAGTGTTTCTGTCGTCAGGGCAGAGTCCTTTAAAAAAAAAAAAATGCCTGCTGCTGTGTTCAGGTTGTGCCGAAGGTTACGCCAGAGATGCCACAGAGATCCAGAACATCCAGATAGCTGAAGGAGACGTCTGCCACAGCCTCCCTATCCCCATCTACATGGTGTTTCCCCGACTCTTCACCTGCCCCACTCTGGAGACAACCAACTTTAAAGTCGGTCAGTAAATCAGCTCTTTGTACACTTCACATACATCGGCATTCTTGTAGTTTTCCTTTAGCTTTATTTCTATTTGAAAATCTTATCCAGGGGTTATACATCTAGCTAGATAGCTGTTTTGGGACACGGTCGGTGGATCAGCAGCCAGTTGTGATCATTTTTAGTTTGCAGGATTTTAATGTAATAAATAACATACATCATCAGTGAGGTTTAGAGTCACTTCCTGTCAGGTTAAGTGCTTTTGGTCAGAACTAGGCTAGTTGTTTCTCTCTATCTTCCTTATTCATGATAATCTAAAAACGATATTAGAAAATCAAGCCCTGCAAAAAAAACAGCTGTTGTTTTGTTGTGCTCTATTTTTCTTTTAGAGTTTGAAGTCAACATCGTCATCGTGCTTCATGACGATCATCTGATCACAGAGAACTTCCCTCTGAAGCTGTGCCGAGTCTGAACCTGGACGACACGTCAAGCACTGAAACATGTTCTATATATCACGACTCTTCTGTTCACTGTTGGGAGATCTTAACTCTGCAGAATGTAAAAACATTTTCTCTTCAGCCAGAAAAGAGATCATGCTAACCTAGTGCAATTACAGGAGAATCCATTACTAAAATACACCTCAG